CAAAGGTTTTTCAATTAATCTGTCAGTTTCTAGCGTCCAAACCGTTTACAGAATTTTCTTAAAAAATTATGTATTTCCCAATATATCTGACCGCTTTTCAAGTGTTACGAGTTTAAAATGAATATTATAATTTTTGAGGGTACTGAACAATGCAAATATATTCTTTAATTGTGCAAATATATTATTTAATTACTAGGAATACAAGAAGTGTTTGGCCTTCGTACATCGACTATGAACTCTTCTGTTGTATATTGGAAAAATTCATGTTCATGCCTTATAATATAAATTACTTTTGCGTGTTTCACTTGATGAGGGCTATTTTATTAAAGGAAAATGTTCACTTTCTCAATGAGGTTTATAAAGCAGGATGTATGAGAGGTGTGTTCTTTTAGCACAATAATTTAAATGTAAATGTTATAAAATAACTATGCAACAACAATTCCGTGTTATTCCTAAATCTAAGCATTCTATGCAATGATAACTCCTTGTGAAAAATTAATTGTAGATAAGGAAATTTTTCAATTCACATTCCTTGTAAAAATAAGTTAGATAGAATCAAATAGAAACCCAGCGAAATGTATAATAAGAAAAAATATTGGATGCATCATCATATTCACAGACGGAGAATGTCACAATCTTCGAAAGGACGAAAAAACATGAAAACGAATTTTGAACATTTCAGTAGACGCGTTTCGGAGGAACCCAAAACCTCCAGTTGTCGGGCCTGAAAATATTAGTACGTCAATAAAACCATTGAACCAAGGTCTTTCTTGCCTTACGAAATATCGCGCGAAATCGTATTGGTGGTTCGCGAAAAGACATTATTCGCCGAATAGTACGATGTATGCCGTTTGAAAGCAATGCACGTGCAACGGTGGGCAAAAATGCAAAAGGAAACGCCTTTTCTAGGCCCAACGCGAGCTTGAGATGATAATTGATAATCTCACGACCAGAATTGGTATGGATGTGTTAGTAATTTGTTGCATTGGATTCCCTGTGTGCTTTCTTTTAAGAAATGTAAACGTAATAATTTTTGGTTCAGACTGCCAACGCTAGAAGGTCGGTTTTGTTGAGAGGGCATTCAGTGGAATAGTCTGCGTCTGTTACGTCACTGAGTTCAGACACTCGGCGCGCGAGCTCTAAGTCATCAAGAAAGCGCTAAGGGCGCACCCGGATGCGGATTCCTTGATGCATATCTTGTAGGAGTTCCGGGAGATCATCCCGCAGGAACCTCAAATATACATGCGCATCGAGACGATCCGAAAGTACATACAGCCCGATGATTTGATCGCCCGGAATACATATCCTTGTAACTTTATTTTGTTTGCGGATCGGTCATCTTTAGGTGCACGCGCGAACATGCAACAACGGTACCCACCGAGGCCTAATCTTTTTTTCCTGGGGGGAGAGTGTACGTGGCTGATTAACGTGGCTGATTTGGGCTGATTAGCATTTTCATGATGAAGAATGAATGGCGCAGTTACAAACATACACGCAGAAACATTCACACACAAACATTCACGCCCTGGCCGGGATTCGAACGCGTGACCCTTAAGGCACGAGGCAGCTACGGCTCTTCAGACTTAGCGTCCTCGCCTGGGCCTTGTTTTATTAATTTTCCAAAAATTATTAATTGCCAAAAGTTCCGTTGCCGGAGCGACAAAAAAAGGATTTACTTGCTGACAACCAATTGACTCTATCTCATGTACGAGTATATTTGGACTAATCGGTCCCACAAGTGCGGATAAATTGTCTGATTGTAACTCAGATCTGTATTTTCTTTTCGGCGTTTCCTGTCATATTATTGGTCATAAATGCTACAAAAAGATCACTTTACCTTTCAAAAATAGGTTTTTGAAGATATTGGAAAATGCGTATATTGGGTTGTAATGCAAGTCGTTTGATAGTTTTGCAAGAAATTGATGTCCCAGGCTTACTGCCTAAATTGCAATATAAATATTAAAATATTATACAAGTTACTGATAATACGAGGAAACAAGTTATGTTGTAGCACTTCTTGTTGAAATATTTCAGGAAGCTTGTATGCCTACATTTTTATGCAAACTGAGGCAGGGGAGTTGCGGAAGTCACTTGTTAGTTTTTTCTCGCGTTTTCTCAGAAACCGGCAATTACGACCTGTACTAGTCATTACAGAAGTGTTCTTCGTGGATATTAAAGAGTTATTGTGAATAGCAATCACAGCTTTGATTTCCATGATTTCATTAAGTGAGAGATGCTGAAGAACTTCAGTATACAACCATTTGATACGTTTTTACTATGAACTTCATTTCGTGTCGTTATTGTATTCAACGTGTGTTCCTAAAGATTCTACAATATTACACAATTACACTGATATAAATGAAGTTTAGAAAATACAGTCAAATCTCGATAACTGAAACGTCGATAACTCATCCCGTCTTAATTTACGATATTTTTGTAATGTTGACATGTTTTGACATTTCTGATACGTCAAAACAATTTTTAATTTCCGGCCGCGCTATACATATTTCACGCGTAAGACTGTCTCGTTAACTCGAAATTTGATACCATGAAAAAATGTCTCGATAACTCAAAATATCTTCTTCCTCTGAGTGAATAATTATAATTTTAACTCGAAAAAACTGACAAAGTTTGTTTTCACGTCTCGAAATTCACACCCTCAGAGCCATCTCCCACGAAACACTTGACAGCTCTCTGCTTTCTTGCCACCTGCTCTGAATGCCTGGATAAGCAAATTTTTTTATTAGGAAGATAGGCGTAGCAACTCCGCGCAGTCGTGTGCTAGCTCGTCGGGAAGCAGTATTTTGTGATTTTTTGTCAAAAACTAGTGCAACATATCGCGGAGATGGGCAAACGTGTGCTCGTATCATTAACTTTAAATGAAAAACTTGAAATAATTTGTAATGTGAAGAAAAGAATATATTACAGAGGAATTCAGTATTGCCGCAAGAAGGCTTTCAACATTTTTAAAAGACAATAACAAAATTCGTCACGAAGTGGAGGAATCACGTTTTGAACCTGAAAGAAAAATGAGGAAACGTTCAAGTATATGAGGACAAATGCTTGTTATTTAACTAATGGACATCAAATTTATGATTTAACGATAATATTCAACCGTGTCTATTTAAAACAGTTCATATTTTATAAAGAAAGTATTATTTTGATATCTCGAATTCTTGATAAGTCGAAGTCATATTTCACTCCGAAGTCCCTTCAAGATATCGAGGTTAGGCTGAATAGTAAAATGATAAATTACGCTGTCTTACAAATTATTCTAATTGCCTGTTTCGTAGAAAATTACATAAGAGTCTAAAAAGCTCAATTGGTACTAATCTTTTGTTACTTTCTGCTGCGCTATGGTATTCTGAACACCGTTTCTGCGCGTGCGTGAATATGACCTTCAAGAGAGGCACGTGTGTCAGAGGAAGAATAACAGCAGAGTCTCATACGAGCCATAACATCCTGCGTTATTTCACCCGAGACAACAAAACACACTCTAAAAAAAGCCCAAATGACGAATTTATGCAGGAGTTCTATAATCTGTAAGCGTTGAAATGATCATGATACAGTATTTATAACGTTACTGTTTATGCAAACAAAAAATACGTAGTAATAAATAGTATACATGTCAGATATTGTTAATTAGTGGATTTATGAGTGAAGCGTTTGGATAAAACTTACGAAACTGATGATACTTATAAACTTTATTTGTAAAAGCTGTTTAATTGAATATTGTAGGAAACAATGTCATTTTAATTTTGTTTCTTAAGCTTTAACTTACCTTTCAGCTGTGTTCTGTAACGTAGTTTTCAAAAAGACGCCAATCCGTTTTTACCTACACACTCAGTACATTTGAGGCTAAAATGGAAACATAGATTTATTAAACTGTACATATGTTCAACTGTACGCTATTATTTACCGTAATATTAAAATAAATTGTAAAAATTCTTAAAGGATTTATTCAACTCCATCTTGCGAGTATGAAACCAAATATTTTGGGAATCAGGGCACTGTGGGAGAGACTTAAATGAGAGCATTATTATACTTATTAATTTAATACACATATTTTATTTCTTTGGTAGAGTACGTACAAAATACAAACTAGGCAAAGCGATTTTTAAATGCATGTCTACAACTAATAATAAAATACTAAGGCATGATTAATGTGACTCGAAGCCAGATACACAAAGTACAATAATCGCGAAAAAATGCACGTTTCTTTTTCGTGCAACGCACATCCCACGAACGGTGTGCAAGAAGTGTCACCAACACGAGCACTGCTTGTTGCACAATGTCACGCACTGCTTGTACTCGTATCAGAATCTCTCCCGCGAGGCAGGACACTTGGCACTGTGCCACAAGACGAACGCCTCACGTTCTTAGTATGTACTTCTCAATACCTTCGCGAACGGGTCAATTTTTTATATCGATGTGACCGCCTAGAAATCCATGACGGTACGGCAAGAATGCAGATTGTTGGAAAAACGCGGAAATAAATATTAGCACAAAAATCTGCCGTGGCGTTATTTACAAATGTGAAGTCGTCTTCAATGAAAACGTGTCTGAAATCGATATGTACCGTTGAGGACACAGAACGAAAGAAGGTAAGCGATGCATCCGCGGCAGGAAGAGAGGTATGTCGACTTTCACCGTTACCTACGGCACTGTCGTCGGGGCACTCCGAAACAAGACCCGGTGACCTCGCTGTACGACCCGATTTCATCTCGCGTACATCTCGCGGACGTCCCGAGGTGCTGTTACTTCAGTGGTGCCCGCGGGGCAGAGCGGGGCGGGGCAGGCGGACGAGCACCGCCCACGCCTAGACGATAGGCGGCGTGGGCCGCGGCCGCACCACCGAGCCCCAGAAGAGCACCAGGCCGCTGGGCTGGTGGCGGTTGAAGAAAATGAAGGGCCAGACGTCCCGAGGTGCTGCTACACCAGCGGCGCCCGCGGGGCGTGGCGGGGCGGGGCGGGAGCAGGCTGCCGAGCGCCGCCCACGCCTAGACGATGGGGGGCGTGGGCCGCGGCCGCACCACCGAGCCCCAGAAGAGCACCAGGCCGCTGGGCTGGTGGCGGATGAAGAAGATGAAGGGCCGGTCGGCGCGCACGGAGCGGTGGGAGCCGTCGCGCGAGACGGTCGCCAGCGTGGCCGCCGACGCCACTGTGCCCATCTCCGTGATCTCCACCTCCACCTGCAGATGCACACAAACACGGAAACGTAAGCTTCCGCGGATCGACCAGATGTTTTCTTGGCTGTCCGGGTGACGACATGTTTCGACGGCAGGTTTCTCTACAAGATGCGTGTTTGGCTGTCCGGGTGACGCCGCATCGTTGGCTGAGGAGCCGACAACATGACAGGCGAAACATCGGCCTCTCAACGGCATCACCCGGACAGCCAAGAAGACACAAACACGTATGTGTTTGCATGCTCTTGCAGTGTAACCTGATAACCAGTGTAACTCTTTGCATGCACTTGTATTGTAACCTGACAAAACAGTCACCTCGATAAAGTGATTATTCTCCATTATCAAAACTTTTTTCGAATTGACTAATTTTTCTGTAAGATGCAAGGCGGCTCGAGATTTGTTGGCTGTCCGGGTGACGTCGTGTCGTTGGTTGAGAGGCTGATGTTTCGCCTGTCATGTGGTCGGCGCCTCAGCCAACGGCGCGGCGTCACCCGGACAGCCAAACACGCTTCTTGTACAGAAACCCGCCGAAACAGTCATCTTGATAAAGTGAGCATCCTCCATTAACAACCAGTATTTCGAATTGCCTATTTTTTCTCAAATACGTGGATTCATTATTTCATAAATATATTGATTTATTAAATATTTCGTGAGAGTGTAAGCTTCCGCGACCGGAGTCAGTATTTACGTGGCTGGTCGGGAGACGCCTCGTCTGAGGCAAATGTGCCAACGTTTTGGCCGCCACTCTGCAATATTACTTAGGGTAAAATGACGCCCTGGTAAAGCATTTCTCACTGAGCAATGTCGCAGAATGGCGGCCGAAATGTTAGGACCTGCACCTCGGACGCGGCGACTTCCGGACAGCTTAGTAAACAATTATTTCGTGTTTCTGGGCGCGTCAACTGTTATGGATATTAGTTTCGTAAGTGCTTGATCTCTCATGGAGGTGATGGTGTTCTTCCGTCACTGACTTGTCAGATCCGCCGACGACTTAAACGTTAGCTAACGGTATCCCGCAACCAGGTATCCCCCACCAGCGGTGCACCGGCCCAGACAGGGCAATCATTAAGCTGCCAGCTGGTCTCCGAACGTGTATGGTACAGTAGTGTATGTATGTGTGTGTAAGAAAGATGTGAATATAAATCAAGGAATATAAAGGAAAGATCACGCGCAGTCGATATGTTAGGATAGTGCTCCGGCATTGCTCGCCTGGTGTTGATCGAAGAAAATACGGAAAAAATACAGAGCAGGTGGCCGCTAGAATTCTACTTCAGACTGGCTGAACTAGATTAAGCTATCTAGAGAGTGTCGAAAATCGTGCCTCCGTCGAGACTTGAACTATAGGACTTTCCAGTGAGGTTCCCTGAGCCCATCTAAGCCGATCTATGATGAGTGGAACTATCAACTCTCTGCAATCACCTTCCACTGCGGTTATCCATACAGTTATCCATACAGTCATCCTTACAATTATCCATAAGAAATGTTTCACTTTACTCAAACCGACCGTTTATTAGATAAATCACTTTTCCTCTGCAGCCCCGATATGTGCATTTCCGAAAGTGGATAACTAGAAGTGGATAGCTAGTTAATGCCTTTTTACGTTAATGATTGAGGTAAATTAAATGGCTCATTATTATATCCAATACAATGAAGGGTACTGCTTAATACCCTTTCTTTCATATAGAACCATTAATCGTAGAGTCATGCAAGTAGAAAATCTGTTCGTTAGCGTTTATTATTATACACTCTCGCTACCGAACTCGTGAATTATCAACTAACTTGCACGTAATGGTCCTTTTTACTGTCTAATAAGACAAATAATTATTAATTCTTCATGTATTTATGATATATTCTACGAGAAACATTTAATTTTAACCTTTCGCGCTGAACGAAAGAAAGTAACAACCAGCCTACCATGGAGCCATGCACAACCCCGCTGATATCTTATTTTTATTAAAAATTTGAGTTTTTGAAGAGGAAGGTGCTTTTTGATGGCCTTTCGATGCTCAAATTGTTTGTGAGCGCTAAAATAAGACCTCGTCGATCTCGCGCAGAGGGTCGTGGCGAGCTCACCTTGGGCAGAATCTCGTCCACAAAAAGTCTGTGGCTGCTGTTTCAATAGAGGATGCACAATCACAGGTACGGAAAACGGTCACGTAACCAGGGCAAGTGTGGATCGCATTAAAACGGCAGGGGTAGTCGAGTGTGGGAGTATGGGGAGGGGGGTTAATGGATGGATGGAGTCGGTGATGGGGAAAGTTGGGGTTGGGTAGAGTCGATGTCTGAGTTTTGGGAAGAGAGACGCGGGGAGTTGTAAATGCGAGGTGTTTTTGGTGGCCTTTCGATGCTCAAATTGTTTGCGAGCGCTAGAATGTGGCCTCGCGCAGAGGGCCGTGTCGAGCTCACCTTATGCAAAATCTCGTCCACGTAGAGCGGCTCGTGGGCGTCGCGCTGGCCGCGGAAGTGCATGGCGTCGCTGGCCGGCGCCTTCCGGGCCTGCGTGGCACCCGCCGCCGCCGCCGCCGCCTCGTCCACGCCCACCAGCCGCGAGAGGTTGGCGGCGCCCGCGTCGAAGAGCGTGTGCACGCCCAGGCGCTGCAGCGCGGAGCTGAGGTCGGCGCTGAAGTCGAGCTTGGTGCGCGGCAGCACCACGATCACGTCCGGCTCCAGGCGCGTGGAGTTGACCAGCCGCTCCAGCGCCTCCACCGTGAGGCTGGCCTCCAGCGCCCTCAGCGCGTGCAGGCCGCGCTCGTTGGGCAGCACGACGTACATGGCGACGTCGCCGCCCTTGTAGGGCAGGCACAGGATCTTGCAGCGCAGCTGCGGGTCCTCGGCGTAGTGCAGGTCGGCGGAGTTGGCCATCATCTCCACTTGGAGTACCTGCAAGAGGACGATTTCAGGGGTTAGTGAAAGAAGAACGCAAATGGATGTGGTACTTCTTCCATTGTCATGGTGCACGAGTTATCTTAGAAAGGCTAATTGAGCCATAAAAAGGATACAAAACGCGCCCGTTGTGTCTCTCAAAAAGGGAATTTAGTATTGCGGCTTTTTAAAAACGGAATTAAAGAATTCTAGCATTTAATATGAATTGCTGCAATAAATAATTTCCAATTAATTTAATTATAGTATAGATAAATACATTGCTCTTCTGATATTATTTCTTCAATTCGATTAAAATAAATTTGATTGATGTCAATTCAATTTGAGTGACGTAAATTCAATTAGCTTGACGTAAATTAAATTTGATTGAGGTGAATTCAATTTGATTGACGTGAATTCGATTTAATTGACATCCATTCAATTTGATCGACGGCCATTCAATTTCATTGACGTGAATTCTATTTCATTGACATGAATTCAATTTGATTGGCGTCCATTCAATTTGATTGATTTGAATTCAATTTGATTTGAATTCAATTTGATTGACGTCCATTCAATTTGTTCAGTTAAATGTGTTCAATTAATTTCATTCTTTCGATTAGAACGAAGCAACGCTAAGGTTCCGATCTACTTGTCGGCGTACCTCTCCGCTGGCGTCGCCGTCCACGTAGAAGGGCCTGCGCTGCGTGGTCTCCCTGGGGAACGGGTGCTGCCACTGGCCGTTGAAGTAGAGCGCCGTGGCGAGGATGAGGCGCGTGGCGGCGGGCGGCGGCTGCGCCAGCATGTCGGCGATGCGGCCGCGCGTGTGCTGCTTGACCCAGGCGTTGACGGCCGCCTGCGCGTCCAGCGGCCGCCGCACGAAGTCCACCAGCTGCACGTCGCTGTGGTACGCCTGCTGCGCCACCTTGCGGAAGCGCGCGCGCAGCGGCAGCCCCACCTGCCAGCGAAGGAGCAGTTGGCAATCGCGGCACACAGGAGACGCGCGGTCAAGAGTTGCCAACTTATTCGCTCATCGAACTCTTTTTATTTTTATTTTAAGTTTTTGGCTCTATCGACTCCCTTACGTTAATGTCCAACTTGCAAGGCTTCAAAACTTGCAAGGCTTCAATGCAAGGCAATTTGCAAGGCTTCAATAAGGTTGCGGACCATATTTACAGTATTCGGGCGATCCACGTCTGACTTCCCCGTATTGTTGATCTCGACAGTTTGCCCGATTGCTGTGAAACGGGGAGGGGGGAAGTATGCATGTGTGATATCAGGCAGTACTTTGCCGAAAGCAGAGAAACATATTGGAATGATTTTGAATTTCTGAATTTACTGGAAAACAAATATTAGGCTAGGCGCACAATGTTGCCCCCTTCCCCGAAATGGATGCAAGAAACTTTCACTTTTGACTAATAATCTTTTGTGGGCCATAATGAATGGCACCGCGGGCCAACAGTTGGACAGCCCTGGCCTATATTGTACCATATGTACTAATCATAAGACGAACACTTGCTTATAAAGAATTTCGTACACAAGTATTTCAGTAAATATCTAGATTTGCAATAATCGAAGACACTTTCACTTCCCACTAGAAAATTTTCTAATCTTCATTGTTGTGCAGTGGTTACAAAATGTTGAGCGATTTCCCTCCTGTCCAAAGGAAAATTTCTTTCGCGATAGAGAACTTCTGTGAATACCTAGTTTTAATTTATTCAGAACTAAACATACTAAGCAGTCACGTTACCAAGTTTTGTGATGCTCCGACGATGCAGAAAATTAAAATTATTGCATTCACAATTCTATACCATATGTATTGTAAGGCATACTACTATTACTGCTGGAAGGTGAGCCCATTTGCAATTCTGGAGAGTGCATTAACTAAAAACTCGTATTTTTTTCGAGTAAGATACTTAGTTTTAATTTATCCAGTACTAAACATTCTAAGCAGTCGCGTTTCCAGGTTCTGTGATGCTCCGATGCAGAAAATGAAAATGATTGCATTCACAAATCTACACCATATGTACTGTAAGGCAAGCTACTATTACTGCTGGAAGGTAAACCCATTTGCAATTCTGGAGTGTGCATTAATTGAAAACTCGTATTTTTTCGAGTAAGATACTTAGTTTTAATTTATTCAGTACTAAACATCCTAAGCAGTCGCGTAACCAAGTTCTGGGATGCTCCGATGCAGAAAATCAAAATGATTGCATTCACAATTCTACACCATATGTACTGTAAGGCATGCTACTATTACTGCTGGAAGGTGAGCCCATTTGCAATTCTGGAGAGTGCATTATCTAAAAACTCTTATTTTTTTCGAGTAAGATACTTAGTTTTAATTTATCCAGTACTAAACATTCTAAGCAGTCGCGTTTCCAGGTTCTGTGATGCTCCGATGCACAAAATCAAAATGATTGCATTCACAATTCTACACCGTATGTACTGTAAGGCATGCTACTATTACTGCTGGAAGGTAAGCCCATTTGCAATTCCGGAGAGTTAATTAACTGAAAACTCGTATTTTTTTTCGAGTTGGGCTCATGGTTCAGCTCCCTCGCAATGTATCCGCTTCCGCTTCCAAGTCCGCTTCCAAGTCCGCTTCCAAGCCCCTTCCCCTCACCTGCACGAAGACGCCGTGCGCCGACAGCGCCTCGGAGGAGTCGGTGGCGGCGGCGCGGCGGTGCAGCTGCGCCAGGAGCCGCCCGAAGTGCTGGTGGATGGCGTTGTCCCGCTCGGGCGTCAGCGCGCCGTCCATCGTGAGGCCCAGCACCTGCGACACCTGCGGCGAAGAGGCGGAACGGACACGTAAGGCGTGGGCGATTTAAAAGGAATTCAAGGGAAGAGGGGAAGGGGAGTGGCGGTGACGTCTATGGTCGCTGATTTTTTTTAAGAAAGGAAAACACTATCACATCGGCTGCCATGCGAGACCATATGGTCGCGTAGGCATTTTTTAAGGCGCGACATTCATGCTTTTTGGAAGAGACAATACAGTCTCGTAAGGACGTTCAATTTTGTTTGAATTGATTATCTTGGAGAGAAGCGGGAGGCATCAGAAGAGACTGGGATGCCACCCGAATCAACACTCGGTGAACATGTTGGACAATAGTGAACATGTGTATAGGCTAAAGCGTGAACATATTCTAGACTTACCCTTTAGATTCTCTTCATAGTAACTTCTATCATGTATACCATTTACTAATTGTTCCAAGTGAACAGATTGTAAATTAGCAGAATTGAAAAAAAAAATCGTTTGAAAGATACCAAATGGTCTCGTAGGGAAATTAGTTTTTTTAACAAGACCATATGGTCACATGTGTTGGCTTGTTCATTTTATGATAATATTCACTATTGGTCTGAATACAGAGTTAACATTTACAAAACGTTCCCGTGAATTCATTTGGACTCATACATTTTTGTAAATAAATTTGGCGGTCTTGTCTATGGTCACTGATTTCTAAGGAAGAAAGAAAAGAAAACCTTTCACGTTGCCTGCCATGCGAGACCTTATGGTCGCGTAGGGACATTAATTTATTTTTTTTTTTTTGGAAGAGACTATACGGTCTCGTAAGGACATTCAATTTTTTTGGAAGGGACCATATGGTCTCGTAGGGAAATCAGTATTTTTTAACAAGACCATATGGTATCATGTGTTGGCTTGTCTATTTAATGATAATATTCACCATTGGTCTCAATATAGTGTTAACATTTGCGAAACGTTCCCGTGAATTCATTTGGTCTCGCGCATTTTTGTAAATAAATTTAATTCTATAGAAATAAATTTGGTATACATTTCAAAGTTTTAGCTTGTATGTAATGTGCGTTAATTACTGTTGGCAGGGAGACGAAGTAAAAACCTGCAGGGTACCGGAATGTAGTATTGCGAGAATGCGCTTGATAGATATTACATTAAATTAAATTCGATCTTTTTCTCATAGAAGAGTTCTAAACCATAAGCATAAAGCTTTTATTGAACAACATTGGTTTGTTACTTTATCGCTACCACGAACTTACGTAGTAAAGGGAAAGTATTGTAATGCTCAAGCGGACAGATGCGATTTTTCGTCCGGAAAACTCGTATTGTGAAGCTCTGATATCAAGAACGTTTTTAAATCTTGTTTCTGGATGAAGTAAATTCCGTTCTGTAAGACTTTATGTTGTCAGAATCTACGTTTTGTGGGTTCTTGTCATCAAGAAATTGATTTATGAGAGAACGCGTGTCCGTCCATCCATCGCTAGAGCCTAAACCGTTTAGGCAATTTTCTCCAGAATTTATATTTTGCAATCGATCTGCCCGAACTCAAGGCCCTGTGAATCTGTAAAGATAGTTTGCTTTTAGGGTGTACTTTATTAGAAGACAACATTTTATCAAAAATGGTTCCAATGTTTTGGATTATATTATATTGTCAGAAAGGGAACTTAAAATGGCGCTGATCTAATTTTCGGTAAACTATCGGAATTTTTGAAAATTGCGTTCAAGGTTCAAATTTTGGAGCATCTTCCTCCTACCACAATATTAAAACTAAGAGACTTTCCTACTTGCGGAAATGTGGTCCACAATGATCTTTAAATAAGGTCATGTAACATTTTTCGAAAAATGAGTGTTTTTTGCGTAATTTGGGGTAAAATATAGGCAGGTTTTAAACAATTATTTTCTGGAAGACAGCTATTTTTTCTGTTTTCTCACATTTTGCAAAGCTCGTTTGTAAGAATATGTTCCATTTTCTACTTGTATTCACGTACGTCATTAGTCTGAGTGATTCAATTTAAAGGTTGTTTGTGACACTTCAATTTTGTGATGAAATGAATGCATTATGCAGAGACGTAACAAAAACTCGTTTCGCTATTTATTTTCTACGTTAGGATTTCGCTCATCACGTAAAATTGGAACAACTCACTACCTGGCAACAGAATAAATGGTAAAGTTCAGGTGAGTAGGAATGTGATTTAATACGAAAAACAATTAAAAACTGAAGTTTATCGAAAATTAACGACAGAATTATTTTAATAAATGTATACAATTGTGAAAAATAATATATTCTTGCTTGTTTAAGAGTTAGCTAAGTAATAGTAAGTAGTTATAGTAAGCGCCTTTGTTCACTAGCATTAACAAACTAGCAGTTTGTAGAATTTATTAAAATCTATTCATATATTTCTCATTATTTATTCTTAATATGCTTTTAAAACATTTATTACGCATATATACATTGCATTGCAGAATTTGATACCTATTGTATGAGATGAATATATAGTTCCTCTAGTTCATTAATATAATTTATTATTTTTAGTTTATGAAAACTTTAGTTGTGTATGAAAATTATAGCATGTTCTGAATATTTAATCTTCTTTATTATTATCCATACTGTTATGTACGTTTCAAATTAAAGATTTAAAAATTCAAGCAAAAACTAATATTTAGCAATAATGAATGAAGTTATTAGTGTTGTTATCGAATTTGTTAAGTAATCAAAAGTATTTAAGAAATTGGAGGAAACTCCTTAAACTATACTTTTCTTGTTTCAATTCTCAATGTTTGTGTCTCATATAATGATAATTAAGAAGTATAAAATGACTCAAGAATGGTGTGCAAATGTAGTCGAAAGAAAGGCTAGACACGGAAGGAATACGAGAAAGATAAAAAAGATTTTAAATCACTAACTTGGGTCAACGGAAGAAGGGAATAGGCATCCATTAAAATCCAATGAAGCAATTTTGGTCTCATCATTTCGTCTGCTCCATGCCAAAACACATACCTAACTCTTTTCAAAAATGCATATTACGCACTAATACGTATACAGTTGGATCTTACACAAAGGGGCGCTTTTAAACCTAACTTATTAGTAAACATCTTCAGTAGGTTCAATGATTTCTCTAACTTAAAACCCAGTATTTGCACTCTTGTTGCGAAATCAAAGTATTTAAACTATCTCAAACTAATTGATTTTACTTACTGTTTCTTGGCATGAAGCAGTCTTTGTGACACACATTTTCAGTTAGAAGGAAGTAAATACTATAAAATATGCTATATTTCTCTTTAAGAATGTTTCCTTCAAATATCAATTTTCGTATTCATTTTTTCCAACTCGTTGAACCACTCACAAAATATATTCCCAAGCTCTTTCTACGTAACTTAATTCTGACTGTCTTCTATACCTGAGGTAAGGGAATGCTTTTGAAATGGAATGCAAGAGACGATTTAAGAGTAATGCATCCTTCAGATGGGAGGGACAAAACGAACAAAATGTCTCGGGCGAGGAATGCTGCTCCTGGCTGCCTTTCCGGTCGAGTGATCCCAACCATCAACACTTTACGAACCTGAGTCCAAAAATCGTGTCCAGAAGGTCTCTTTTCAATGGAAGAGCTGCAGCGCCCACCTGAACCTCTTAATTATATATCTCTGAAGTCAGGCAGTTGCAATTTCGAGAATGTCTATCATTTTAGAAAACAAATAACTGACTTGACCTCTCCTAATTTGAAATTCTTTCCTCTGTTCGATATATGTGGTGGTGTGAGGAAAGGGAGCTAGAAATGTCTACTCTTTGAACTCTTAGATATACGTATTATGCACTATTTATCTACTTATTATTTAAGCAGACCTAATGAACGTGTAATGAAGAGTGAGATCTACTTTTGATTGCGAACTGCTTTATTCTTAATATAACAGAAAAAAATACTACGAAAGTAAGTTTACATGAAGATATTCCGTGAACAATTCAGTGTGTTTGTTAGTTTTGATCATTACTCATGAAAGCAATAAGGAATATTCTTTAAGTTATTCAACATTAATGTCGACCCTCAAAGAATCATTGTTTATTTTTCATTCATTCTCTGATATCCAAGGCTTGTATGTTATGTTTCTCTTTACCCTGAAGTCCTTCATAAAAGCAAGAGGCAATTTCGACCTTCACAGAAGTGCACTCACAAACGCATGTGCACCGCACATCGTTTGGCTCTTCTCCTAGGTTTTCTTATCTAGAAAGCTCATCGTGTCCCAGCGCCTTCTTTGCATCATGATACCCTGGATGCACTGCTATTTGATCATCATTTTGATTTGAGAAAAGATGTTGGGTATCAAATTTTTATTCTGATCTTTTCGATCTTTTCGATCTCGTAGCAATCATCCTCAGAGCTTGTTGGGGAAAACGAAGTTCTGCAGTTCTGTTGAGCAGATCTTCGTTTTCAGCCCCGACGCTGCAAGTTCTGATGATAATTGCCACGCGATCGAAAAGATCTACAGAATAACAGTTTGATACCTGACGACCCTTTCTCAAATTATTAGAAAGCATCTACCTCTACAGCGAAATTATTAACCATAAGAATCAATGAAATACCTGTTGAGTATACTCTCAATTTTTGATACACTGACATAGTATGTAGACATTTTAGAATATAAAATGACAGTGGATAATGTGTATATTTCTTAATATGAAAACGTGATGGTTCATTTCTTATATTATTGTTTAGATGTTGTGAAGTTTGAATGAAGTAAATAGTCAATGTAATATTACCCTTGTTTCATGATATGAATACATTGTGTACTTACGAAACAAATAAACAAAAACCAAATAAAACAAAGCAGAAACGAAACATGAATAAATGAAACAGTTGCTCGTATCACGTGACGTGACGTACCTCCTCGTAGGTGCGCCCTCCGGAGCCCAGCAGGACGAGCGCGAGCGCGGCGGCCACGCTCAGCGGCGAGAAGAGCACGTTGTCGCGCGCGGGGGCGTCGGCGGCGGTGGAGGCGGCGTCGGCGTCGGCGCTCAGCGCGCGGTCCAGACTCAGCGCCAGCTGCGTCACGCCCCGCGACACGTCGCGGTGCACCTGCAACGCCACAGCCACGCTCAGCCACGGCCAAGGAAGAATAGAAGAAAGAAAGAAGGCGGACGGGAAAGTAATAGGAAGGACATGAGTGGAAGAAGTAGAAAACGAGGGAGAGGAGTGGAATAGGAGAGGAGTCGGGAGGAGTGAGAAAGGAGATGAGACGGGAGGGGAAAAAGAGAGGAGGCGGGAGGAGTGGAATAGGAGAGGAGACGGGAGGAGTGGAATAGGAGAGGAGATGGAGGAGTGGAATAGGAAAAGCGACGGGAGGAGTGGAATAGGAGAGGAGACGGCAGGGGAAAAAGAGAGGAGGCGGGAGGAGTGGAATAGGAGAGGAGACGGGAGGAGTGGAATAGGAGAGGAGACGGGAGGAGTGGAAAAGGAGAGGAGGCAGGAGTGGAAAAGGAGAAAATTGACAACAATGACAAGAAATCACTATGCTTTCTGAAAAAAATAACTTTTGAGGGACGAATTTAAAAAGGGGAATTCCAAAAGTGAGAGCGAAATTCTTAAAGATTTATGGGAAAACCCAAGAAAGTTCTTACTGCCGACTTGACATTCTATTATCCTTCTTTAGAAATACGACTCATTTCAACGATGCTTGGGTATTATTTATAAACGTTGAAGTAGGTTTTCCCTCCCTTTCATTCTACTTATTAGGTAACATCTGAAGTGACGTGTATCACTGAATACGAATTTCTCGTCGTAGATTGATGTTCAGACATGTTTTTAAAATGACAAAGGCTTAATTTCTTAGCCTCTGCTACATGTTTTAGATAATAATTTGCGAGAAAAAGAAAACAAATATATTGAAACAAAATATTCCCTTTCTAATTTTACAGCAATGTAACAAATTGAATGCAATTACCAAAGAAGACAAAAACCCAGTTTTATTGAAGAAACAACCCACCCCAATGTTTTTGCCTTCAATTAATTTTTTTCAGCAACACAAATGATTAAGGATTAAGAAACATGAGTAAGAGATACCTATACACTCAAAAGACCTATTCGCAAGCAAACACTGTAAAACCTATCCGCAAATGATGTTGAATGTAGTTCCAACCAATACAGTTAAGAGGTAGCTACATCAGTTAATACTGGTCTGAAAGTATGATTGTAGAGTGTTCTCACGCCTTCACCACACAGGTTCAGGTTTCAAGCTTCGTACTGCAGGAGGCATATTGCAGGAAAATTTCCACACGTTTTTACGGTATTATTTTAACTTTTTTCAATGCTTAAACGATACAAATTGGTTCTTGAAAATAATTTATTTTATAATCAAGATGTCTAAAGGTAATTGCAAATATCGGATAATCATGCGAAGTAACCTTTTATGAACCGTGTTAATGGATCTTCTTAAAGAACGTTTCATTTACTGAAATATATTGTTCATTATACATATATCTAAAAAGCAGTTTACGTTTCCATGTACATTAATTTTTTATCCTCAATATCGCATTCGATTATTAATAATTATTAATAATCATTAATAATTATTAATAATCATGAATTTCGATTAGTGTTGGATGCTTTTTTTCTGAAAAACGAAACAAAAATTTTTACTAAGAAAATACTACTTAACATCGCCACTCACACACACACACAGCTATATAAATGAAACTAGTTATTTGACTAAATATATCGTAATAAAAGTAATATTAATATTCATCAGAGATTACTTATTCTTAGAATTTAACCCACAAACAAACAAAATGATTTAATTGCAGCCATAATTTCAACACCTTCAATCATTTACGAAGATTCCTATTGCGGAAAATATGGTTCTCAAGAAGCCTTAGCACTCTCGCTAACACGTCGCTGTTAACACACGAAGTTAGCGAGGTGGCCGGGAGCACGTGGCCGGCGGCCACCTGTTCAAAGTGTCATCTGAGTCTCGTCGCAGCACGCGTGGGTGTTGGCATTCCTGCGCGGGGGCGCGTCTCCCGCACGCGGGCGGTTCCCACGCGCGCTCACGCGTCGTCGCGTCTCGGCGTTTGTCGAGTCGGCGAGGAAAACTCGGCGCCCACGCGACTCGGGCGCTGGCCCGGCGCAGTCGCTGGCGTCTCCGCCTGCCGTCGCGATCAAAACAGCTCTCTCGATGGCGAGAAGAGAAACCTCCGGGCGGCGTGACGCCAGGGACACGACTCGTGCGTCAGCATGCAGGCCGGTGGTGGGTAAATATAGAGCGTGGCGTTGCGTTGGTTCGAAGCATGCTCGTTCTCCGTGGTTGCGTTACGACGAAAAGCCATCAAAAAGGAAAACCATTTCTGGCATTTGCATATTTTGAAAATTGAGGAGCATTGCTTTCATTAAACGTCTCCATTGAAATTACGATCCAATTTCCGAAGTGAAAATAACTTATTTCGGCAATCGTTTCCGAGAAGATTTGGAGATTTCGAGCTAAAGGACGAATGCAAACGGTATTCGAATGTTTTCGCTCATCATTAGCGTAATGTGAAAAAGCAATCGTTTGCATCACACGAAGATAAATCACATAATGAGACAATTATATAATTTATTTACTTAAGTAAGGACATAAAATACATTTTTTATTTCACTTAATGTGTTTGTTTGAAATTTTATACTCATGTTTCCACGAATGTTTCATGCTGTCTGCAAAAGCTTGTAAAATGTATTCTTCCAAGAGAATAAATTATGTCTAAAAGAACTGTAAAAGAAGAGCCTAGATAAAATTTCCGCTCAATTGATAAGAAAAAACGTATTTTTTCAGTCTCTTCCGATGATCAAAAAGGATACCTTAAGATCGAGTTGGTGAAATATATGTAAAAGATTTTACTATCTAAAGAATAATAAGTTTTCGCGAATTTAATTTTTACGTTTCATCGAAAAACCCACAATCGCTCTTTAAGCACGTTTAATTACGAGGTTTGTTGGTTTACATAACTGGAAAATACGCAGATACGAAAGGAAGTTGCCCGGTTGCGGTAGCTAAAATAAGATTAGCTCATTTGAAGCAGGAAATGCGGTGGGAGCAATTTGGCGTGCAGATCGCCGGAAGATTCATTATTATCCAGTTAGTTTTTTGTCATCCAATTAAATTCGTATCGTGTAATGAGATAGTGTATTTAACATACTTTTGTTCTATTTTTTCAAGATACGATGGTCCATATTATTTGTAATTATTTACAGAATCGAGAGAAATTATGAAATACTTCATAATTTACTTATACATAATTAATAATAGTCCATAATAGAAACATACGACAAAAATGATACGAGTACGTGAATATTGCATTCAGTGACAGTTTTGGGACGTTACGACGTAAATGATACTCGGTGTTATTTATAAAACAAATGAAATACGCGAAACAAGATTTAGAAATGCCTAATGTTGGGTACTGCATTTATTTAAAATGGCAAACCATAGATTATTAATATTCTTCTTTAAATAAGCCGTCACGAATAGGAAATTTCTCGATAAAAGTCATGGAGTTTACATTGAATCGTCGAAAAAAAATTGTATTTTCTTGGGAACATGCAAATTAAAAACTTGTCTAATTGAATATTTCAGTCAGTACAGAACGGAAATGTATTCTTTCTATAAATTACTAACACAAGAATGAAATAGAATATTTAGACACTGAGATTTTTTTTTGGTAGCCACATTTTCCGTCATATTGTAGTGTAAGCTCTCCAAAACAAAAGTGTATAATTAAAAAGAATGTCTTTACGCGTAATACACGACATGGCACGCTTAACAATAGGATGATTTCCTATTGTTCGCGTCCCATATTAATGGTAATAGCATTGCGCAGGCCTAATGGGCGCGGCTGCGCAACTTGAAACGCAGCCAATTGCGACCCGATTGAAGGCCGCCATCCGCTCTACTCACCTGTTGTTCGATCACCGCGTGAGGTCGAAGGCCGTCGGTCTCTCCCTGCGCGAAGTAGATGCCGTCGTTTCCGCTGCCGAAGCGGTTGAGAAGGTCCTGTGAGGCGTTGGCGGCGGCGGGGCGGGGCGCCGGGCGGGGCGGAGGCGGGAACGGGGGCCTCGGCGGCCGAGCGCGCGAGTAAGGCCCTGCTCCTAGGGACGCCCACGCCGTCGCGCACGCCGAGCGCCGACGAGCACAGCGCACACACCCGTCCACACGGCGCAATGGTAGTGACGATGATCGACGATTTAAGTCGTCGATTTAGCCGAACGTATTTAGTCCGATTTGTTCCGCCGATTTAGTCCGATTTGTTCGCATTTAGTCCGATTTAGTTCCGCCCGATTAAGGCCCGGCAAAGTTCAGCGAAAAGCCGGACGATTAAACTGCGATACGGAGGCCACACGACGGCGAAGATGGATGACAACGGACCGTCTCCTCGACGGGGACTCGTGGCGGGGTGCTGGCCTCGCCTGCCGTCTCAAGCGCGACTCGAGGTCTTCCGACCGGCCGAGCGACCTCAACGCCGGAGGGCCGCGCACGTGAGGCGGTGGCGAAGAGGAGGCGTGTTGGCGGCGCGTCTATGTCGCGAGCGCGCCGGGTGCCGTCTGGCCGGTGGTGGGACGCAGCCCGTGAACCGACCTCGGCGCGCCCCCTCCACGCCGCCCGCGTTCCAGCTCGCTCCCTCCCTTCCTCTCTCCCTCCCACCACTTTCACATCCGCTGCTCGTGCGTCGCCTCCACCGCTTCGGGCACCTCGGGCACCGGGCGGCGATAACAGGAGGCGGGTTTGTACGGTAAATTTGTTGTTTTTTTTCTTTCGTTTGTCAGGCCGGTGACTCATAATGAATCACTCAAGACAATCGGGCTCGGGGCTAGTATTGGACGAGAAGTGTGTACGTTTCTTGTTCCTTTGCCATTGTTTTCATTGATGTGGTATTGTTTTATCTTTAATTAATATATAGAATATGAACGGTTATAGCTACTTCTATAAACTCTGACAATTTTGGTTTGATGTAGTAGAATTGCGCAAAGGTATTTATTTTCGATCCACCAGAAAAACAACAATAATAATTGTATTATTTGAGGTGATTAGCCTGGGATCGGTAACTGAGTTTTGCATGGGGTTCGAGTGTTTAATAAAGTTGTTACTAAAGAACCGATTAGAGCTCATTTTCTTTTCAAAAAGATATTTTTTGTATCAACCACAGGATCAAATATTTTACGCAGGAAGCCTTGAAAAATTCCATGCGTTTTTGTATTCACATGTCTTTTCTGCGTGGCCTCTTACACTTTGGCACTGCCATTTTGCTTCGTTATACGCAAATTACCAAAACAATGAAAAAGCGCCGTAGCTTTTAGTGTTCAGTGCTAATGTTACTTTTTAGAAGCAAAATGAAGTCTCAGTTCAACCTAGGTTTAATTACATATTAAGTTAGACATTTCTCAGTGATTTTACGAATCATTCTCAGTAAAGTTAGTACTTCATCAATACACTAATATTTCTTAGAATCCTTTTTATCTCTGTTAACTACGCACTCCGTAGCGTCAAATAGAATTTATGAATGTTACAGAATTTCTTAGTTGTGACTGCTTGAAACTCTAAAGGCAAAGTATTTCGCTCATTCAGTGGTTTAACATTAATGGGGGAAACATGAATTTATTTTCCGAGATGAGAAATATCTCACAATCTATCAAGATATTTTATGGGAATTTAGAAGATAAGCTCTATCTAAAGAAAGTTTGAAACTACTACATAATTCCGGCAATATGGAACAATAATTTAGATATGAATGTCATGCAAATTTTAAGAGGAAACTTTTTGTATTCGGAATTGATCTAAAAGAAGATATTATTCAATGTTTAACTTTCACAAATACATCGTATACCATTTTCATTTATCACGAGTTGAGGTTGTATCACGAGTTGAATCAGAAAATTTGAAAAAAGGTTTAGGTATAAAAACAGAGCCACATGAAAATTCGATTTGGTTGAAAAATGACAATAAGAATTAGATAAAATGTTTTTGGATGAATTTAGAAGAGTTGAGAACTTTCTTGAAATACTTGTTTTTGGAGATATTTAACAAGAATGCGTAGAGTTTTTAAGTGGCTGATGATATTAGGAACTCCTCCTGCTTAAAATAAATCTTTTTAACGATAGTAAGCATATTTTTGAGGCTAATTAATTAAAAAAGTTCATACGTAAGTACTTGAACGATACTCGAAGGGTTCAGAAAAGAAAATGTAAATGTAGAAACAACTGAAGATCCATAACCGCGAAGAAAACAGAAGAGAGAAATAAGAATAGGCGAGAGATGTGGGGAATAATTTTAAGATGAGGAAAAGGGAGTACGAGTAGTCCTGAAGTAACTACAAGAGCCCGGAAATGAAGAAAAAAATAGTTCATTACTGAGTTTTTTAGAAATATTATTTGACATGTATTGAAGGCAAGATAAAAGGAAAATAAATTATCATGACTGCCACAATAGTCAAGAACATGACGATCCTTGTGGGCGAAACCTTTTTATCTGTCTATAGGTTAGAGAAGAGACTGTTGAATATTTTTGATGGTATTTCTTTGTAAAAAATCTTCATTTTGTTTTATTTTGTTCTGAGAAACGGCTTTTGATTCTCGTGACCTTTGCACGTATGTTTACGAGAATAGCCGCGTGAAACATACGCTGATTCTCAGAAGAGCGTGTTCTCTTTTTATATTCAAATGTGTAAAAAGAAACAGTTGTTCATTGTAAATAAATGTTTGTATGTTTGAATAAAATTCATCTCTTATATTTTATGTAGTCTTTTCAATAAAAACAACAATGGGAGTGTGAACGAAAGAAAACTGCAATTGTCAAGTGAATCATACGCTGATTCACAGACGCACGTCCGTTCGTGTTCTTGATTCTTTTCAAGGTCACATGAGTAAAAAACAGTAGTTGTTCATAAAATATATATATATATATATATATATATATATATATATATGTGTTTCAATAAAGTCATCATTATATTTTATTTAGACTTTTAAATCAAAGAAAACCTTTCCCAGAAATCAAGCCATGAGAATCAACACTCGATTCACGTAGATACAACCAAAAATGAAATTCTGTTGTTATAGCCGTATACTTGTAGTTGATTTGAGAAGAGAACGCTGCTCTTCACGGCTATTGAGACTCGTCATGAGTGATAATCAACTATAGATTCTCAAAGCCATTCGAACCAATTCAAATATTATTAAAATTTTATATTTATTGAATAGTTTTAAGAAAAATTCACTTGAAAAGGATGCTCATCTTCATGTAGGCAGGCCCTGCCTCGCTTACATCAAATTTCAAGAAATCTACAAAAAATAGGAAAAAATATTTTTGAAATAATGTTAATACTACAATTGTATAATGAACTATCATTTGAATAATAATACATTAAGTGAATGGTATAAACGATAACGATGTTTCTGGTCCTTCATCGTTCGTCGTTTGTCTTTAGTCGTTCGTCGTTGGTGGTACGTCATTCATGGTTCGACGTTCGTCGCACGTCCATCATCGTTCATCTCTTGTCTTTCTTCGGTCTTTCGTCGTTCGTCATTCGTCGTTTGTCATTCGTCATCGCTCATTGCTCGTCGTTCGCCTCCCGTCGCTTGTCGTTCATTGCTCGTCAGTCGTCGTTAGTCGTTCTTCTTTTGTCGTTCCTTGTTCATCGTTCGTTTACATTTTTCGAATTTTTTATATTTTTTGTTTATATTATTCGAACATTTATATTTTTACCATTTTAAAAATTTTCCAATTTTTATATTTTTCGAATTTTTATATTTTTGGAAATTTTATAGTTTTTGAATTCTTATATTTTTCAAATTTTTCGATTTTTTAAAATTTAAACCTTTTGAACTTTTTATTTTTCGAATTTTTATATTTTTCGTATTATATAT